TCTTTAAACTAATCGATTAAACAAAAAGACGGTTCTTGAAATGAATAGAATAATCAAAATTTCAAATAAAGTTTGTACCTTTGTCTCTGTAATAAGCAATGACACAACAAAGAAGTCAAATTTCTGTTTGATTTTGATTTTCTTCAAAACCCAGCAAATAAAAATTGATACTTTGAAGTTTCTCTGAGTTGTGACAAAGCTTAAAATAGACAAAACATTTAACGACGCTATGTACGTGACTGGGTTTGGTTCATCAATGGCGGCCCAATCAGAATCTGTGAGATCTTTTTGGCGGCGAAGTGGTTACGATTCAGGAGACAAGAGACAATAAAACCTCCCGACCAAATTCTCAGACTATTACTCTGTTTTTTGTCTGAAACAAACGGCGATTTTTTTTAAAAGAGAAGGAAAACAAAAAACAAAAACTTTTTGGATCAGAATTGTGTTTAGTGTGCAGAAGAAACGAGAAGACACGATTGTCGACAAAACCCAGATGTAATTCGAAATTCTTACTTTTTGGTAATAAAATTTCAGAGAATTTTTTATTGATTTTGTATATATTCGATTTACAAGAAAATGGGTCATAGAATTTGTGAAATAATTTATAGACAACTTTTCATATATTTGTATACCTTATTTTAAACAAAATAAATGAATGTGTTATTTATTTTTATTTTCCACATGTAGTAATGATTTATGTTTTTCCTTGTTTAAAAAATTTTATGCTAATAAAAATTGAGGATAGTGTGTTGATAACCAAAAAGAAAGAGATAATTTGTTCATAATTGATATAAGTATAACTTTTATGTAAAATACTAAAATTAGTGAAATAAACTATAGAAACAAATTATTACAAATTGGGATGATAAGAAAATACACACGTGTGTATGAATCATTTTCCTTAAAAAAAATTTATATGTTGAGGAGAAAATTAGGGAGATGATTTTTATACTCTTGAGACCATTATAATGGCTACATTTTGGGGAAAGATTTGACCTAGCGATGTAACAAGAATTGGAAAGTTTTTGATTTAGTAAAAAAAAAAAATCTGAAACAATCGAATAATTGTATCTATAGAATAACTAAAAAATCATATATACAACTGTTGTTGTTGTTGCTAAAAATCATATAAAGCGTAAGTTATAAAGTTTTAAAACTGTATTAATAATTATGATACAGATATAGGTTGACAACAAAAACAACTATGATACAGATATAATTGAATCTGTATGCTAGGTCGCATTGGGACTTGGGAATCAGTAGATAAGAATCAGGTGTACATTATAGTTCTCTCAACACGCAAGGATTTTTTTTTTTAATTCATCAATTATTCCACTTGTTATAAATTTGAATGTGATAGGAGTATTAATTTTTATTCGTAAATTTCTTGTGTTTAAATTATGTGGATTGGGTCATTCAATGAGAAAATAGCAGCAAGTTTTTGCGTGTGCCATTAATACTATTGATGATATTAGCAATTTTAAGTATCCTGGTTGATATAAAGAATGACTTGTGAGACCATGACAAGAGCGAGAGCGGCACTAGGGTTTTGGTCTCTAAGGACGATTTTCTAGGGTTTTGCAAATCTTGACCGCAAAAACTCTAGATCATTCGTTTTTTCGATTTTAATATTTTTTCAGCTTTGATTATCTCTTTTCTTTTTACTGCGCCGTGCATCTTGCTGTGTTTCTCGTTTTTTCACTAAAAAAGTTTTGAAATTTTTTATCCTAGACTAGGGTTTACTTGTATCCAACGATACCCGGTGTTCCCACGAATCTCTTTCTTCTGGTATTGATATCGAATCATCGCTACACAAGAACATAGAAAGGGAAAGCGGTGGCAGGTTCAAGTCAATGGATCATGGATCCTCCTATTCAATTACCAGATGTGGAAAACGCGGACCTAATAGAAGAACACCAATTGACGCTTATAGGAAGAGTACTCCACCGAGAGACCCAGGTTCCGGCAGAAGTGATAAATTTCTTCTCGCAAATCTGGGGCCTGACTAGTAGGGTGGAAGGAAAAGTG